CACACACACACCTACACGACACACAGACAAGGTATTCTTTGTTCACATGTATGCCTGTGTAAGATGTGTATGTTAATGAACTTATGCATAGTCATGTAACCACAATAAAGAGCAGTGTTACGAGGCGGACGAGAGCAACTGGGGTCAAGCGAAGGAACGGCGCTCATCACAGTTCTCTCCCTCGTGCACGAGTAACACAAAGAATTGTCTCATTCCAGCAGCGGGTCTGTGCTAGACAGACCCATCAGTGTGTTTATATTGTAAGGTAAAAACCCTACAACAAGAGAGACGGAGAAAACCCCAACAATCATATGACCCCCTATGAGCAAGTGTTTTGGCAACAGTGGGAAGGAAAAACTCCCTTTTAACAGGAAGAAACTCCAGCAGAACCAGGCTCAGGGAGGGGCGTGGCCATCTGCTGTGACCGGTTGGGGAGTGAGGAGAAAAGAGCCAGAGATCAATAATAATTAATGGTTAAATACAGAGTGGTTTAGAAACCCACTGTGAGTCAAAACCAGGAGTGAAGAAGAAATGTGAGCAAAGTGTAAACTTGCAGCTTTCATTTAAGCAGTTAAACATTGACTTCTTAGTGTCTTTGTTTTTTTTTTAAAGTGTTTGCAGTCAGTAACTGTCTGAACTAGAATCTTAATTTGGTTAAGGTTGACTGATTAACTCACCCATTTAAAAACACTCCATTTGTTGGCCTGAAGGAGCTCTTGGGATGCTTTTGCCATAGGAAGTGCTGGAATGTACTATACTGAATGTGAGAGTATGACCCTGTACACATTATTAACACCAGCGATCAGGTCCTGGTCAGGTAGTATTCTTCACATCTTTTATCACTCCTTTCAAGTATCTTGAGGTCTTGTTCGCGGGTGATGGGAGAAGGGAGTCGGATATCGACAGATGGATTGGTGTGGCGGCTGCAGTGATGCAGACGCTGCACCGGTCCGTCGTGGTGAAGAGGGAGCTGAGTGTAAAAGCGAAGCTCTCAATTTACC